ATTTGTATAAGTAGTAGTATTTCTATATAGTATTATTATTATGTAGTTACTATTTCCAAAATTATTTAATAAAGATACAAGCAAGGCCTCATATTAATACCAAAAAAAAATAGATTGTGTTGGTATATTTATAGGGTTACATAGTGCTAAAGAGTATAGCAAATCAAGTAAATTAGCATTAAGGTTAAGTATAATATCAGTTTCTGTATATTTCTTTCTTCCTAAGAATTTTGTTGATGAACTAGCTGGGATGTTAATTGTGTATTTGTTTCGAATCTGATTAGAATTTAGAGAGCATTCAGCATATGGCTAATAGGTATATATTGGTACAGGATAAAGATTAGTATACAAGTAATCAAATATAATATCCCAGTATGTAATTGATATTTAGTCACTAGTAAAGTTATATTTTCTGATCTTTTTAATAATAATATGTTGATTATCATTATATGTAATTAGCCAGAGCTTAGATTTCTTATAGTGTCTAGTTTAAAATGATATTGAGTTAATATTTGGTAAGTCTAAATATGAATTAATTTGTCTGATAAGTTGATTAGTAATTATTTTTCTTTAAGAACCATAAACTATAGAGGTTTACATTCTTTTGGAATTTGTTATATTCATAGTGATATGTGGTTTTATGCTAGCAGATTAGAGTTATCAAATGATGTGAACTATTCTAAATAGATAATGTTCTTTAATCATAGTTGTTTTTTGAATTGTAAATATAATTTGTGTGTATTAAAATATTTTCAAGAGTGTGTTGACTTAGTGAAGTTGGCAAATTATCGCATCCCAAGTAGCAGAACTAGAGTTTGATTCCTACTGGTGACAAAAATTCGAATTTTAGAAAATGCATTTGAAAGACTATATCTTATTGGGTTATAGAACCTGTAATGGTAGTTGTATCAGCTTGTATTAAAAGGTAGTAGAACATGTAGTGTAATGTATGAGTTATACAAAACCTGAGTAAAGCTACTAGATAAATCTAATAAATTTACAAAATACAGGAGTCTGCTTGGCAAGACTCAAGTAAAGAGGTAGCACAGATCTTTAACGATTACTATGTAAAGGATAATCAACTAGATACTGGAAAAACCAGACAGGACCAAGATGTTTGGCAAGGCACTATACCAACCAGGCTGTCAGATAATCAGAGGAATAGTTCCACTCTTCTGGACCATCAAATTGGGAGTTTGGGTTTCCAGAGATATGAGAGGGAGTCTGTAAAGTAGGTACCAGGGTTTAGGTAAACTCTACAAGAGCAGTAGTAGGTAACTGTAGCAGCTTCGGCTCACAAGTACTTGTCATCAGACTCAGCATAAGTTACTAAAAAGGCTTAGTCTAGAAATATGTGTGATATAGAAAGATTAGAGAAGTTATAGTTATTGTCCACAAAGTGAACAATAACCAAGAATTAGATCCGAATCAGATGATTAGATAATAACGGAATAGCCACTGCCTGCTGCGCAGCCAGTGGCCATTTCGTCATTATCCGATCATCTGATTCGGATTTAATTTTTGACTATTGCCCACTTTGTGGATAATAATTGATTTATTTCCAGGTTCTTATTATACTTCCGTACTATTTTTTTAATTAAAATAACGTAATTCATATAGTTTAAAATTTTATATAAAAAGAATTCAATCTAAAAAAATCAATTTTACAACTTTCATGATGTCAAACTTTATTTCTGCTCATGACTTAATTGAAACAAATACTGTACCAAATGCATCAAATGAACTCGAAAGTATTGATAGAACTGAAGATAATATTCAACGATATATAAAAAAATCTAAGGTTAAAAACACTGCCGCTTGTACTCAAAAATGGGTTCGAGCTTTACAAAACTATTGTAAAAAAAAAATGTTTCCTATGAAATTCAAACTATAACAAATCAAGAGCAACTTGAACGTGAACTATGTGAATTCTTTGCTGATATTACACGATATGATGGAAAGCCTTATAAGGTCGAATCAGTTATATCAGCTTATACCTCACTTAAACGTTTTTTATTTGAAACTTCAGTAATTCAAAATGTTAATATTAATGATCGATATCAATTTCTAATATTATATAAAGTTGTAGATGGAAAATGTATGGAGTTACAAGATCAAGGACTTGGTGAAATTGATCAATCAAAAGAATTGACTTGAGAAGAAATACATCAAATTTTATTATACCTTAATACTGGTAATCAAACAGCGTTACAACTTACCTGGAAAGTATTCTTCTGGAATGCATACTTATTAGGATTACGTGGTGGTTATCATTATAGACTTTCATTAAGTTGTTTTAATTTTCAATTGGATGGAAGTCTAATTTTTATGATTAGTCGTGAGAAGAATAATTAAGGTGGACTTAAAGGTCGAAACAAATATGAAAAATTCTCTAGTCGTCGTGTACATATTCTACCAGACTTGCCTAATAATGAATTTAAACCTATTCAAGACCTTCAGAATTATATAAATTTACATCCACTAGATGCATGCGACAAGTTCTATTTACAGTTAATAAGAAATTCACAAGCAATTAAAGATGGAACCTGGTTTCTTAAAACTGGACTTGGTCGACACACATTAGCAAATATATTGCACAAGCCTCAAATATTAATATTAGTGACCAACGAATTACTAACCATTCCAGAAGAAAAACTGCAATTCAGCTTTTGTCTGATCTTAATGTAAACGAACATGAAATGATGGAATTTTCAGATCACCGTTCAGTTAATGGACTACGATCATATAAAGTCCCTAATGATGAGCAACGGCTCAAAAATACTACTTTACTAATCAATGCAATTCAAGATTCTCAAGCTCAAACTTCAGATTCTCAAGTTCAAACTCCAGAATCTCAAATCGAAACTTCAGAATATCAAGTACAAACTCAAGAATCTCTAGTCGAATCTTCAGAATCTCAAATTATGACACAAGAATTTCAAGTTTCAACTAATGAAGAATTTCTGACCTAAGTATTTACCCATGAAATGTCTCAAGTCTTGACTGAAAAACCTCAAGTATTTACCCAAGAAACATCTCAAGTCTTGACTGAAAAACCTCTAACCTTAACACAACAGAAAGGCATTCGATTTAAAAAAAAGGTTCCGAAACTAACTGAAGAAGAAATTCAATTAAAATTAACTAGGCCCTTTCATCTACCCTTAAAA